TTATTATTATTATTATTATTATTATTATTATTATTATTATTATTATTATTATTATTACCATTATTATTATCATTAAAGCTTTCTGTTTAGTTATGGATTTATAAATTTTGAAACGTCTAAAAATTGAATTTTAATTTTGATATTTTGTGAAGTGTTCCTTTTTTTCCATTTTTACAGATCAAAATTAAACACTTTTATGCAGTAATTGAATTTGTGGCATATTAGTGAAAGAGCAACAAAAGAAAATAAAGGACAATGGTAAAAAATAAGCAAAGTAAAGGGAAAGGTGAAAAAGACAAAAAGAAAAACGGGAAGCCGGAGTAAGAATAATTCAATGAAGAGATTAAAAAAAAAGGAATGTGAATTTTGTGGTGTTATTTGCGGTTCGCCGTAACAACATCAGTCTAAGGAATCTGTTTTAAAATTAAATCCAAAAAAGATAAATGATAAAATGTTGGATTTTTTTCAGAATTACATACATAATGAAATAAATTTTTAGTTGCTATTAATTAAAGTAAATTATTTTTAACTAAAAATTTTTTGAAAAAAAAGAAGAAAGCTATAATGAGAATTATATATATGAATTAAAAATGACTGAAAAAAATTATGCAATAGAAGAAAGAAGAAAAAAAAAAAGACAAAACAAAACAAAGCCATGCTTGTTTTATTATTTTGATTTAGATGACATAGGTGTCACATTTGTTATAAAAGTTTTTCGATAAAGTGTAAGTACAATGGAATTAAAAAAAAAAATTCGAAACAATTTAAATTAGCTAAATTTATGAATAACGTTGTCAATTTTATTATTTTTTTCAAATTGAAATCTTTTTGATTTTTTTTTTTTTTGAATGATAATTTAGGTGAAAGCATGGATACAAACAGTCATAGACAAATTAATAAAACAATGGGAACCAGCTAAATGTCAATCACTATTTACTGAAAGTGAACTTATCGAATTATGCTATCGAGCACGTGAAATGTTTTGGATGCAACCAACTCTTATTGAGGTATAAAAAATATTCATAACAATGCTTATTGGAGCAATAAATAAACTCTATTAATGCTTAATTGAAATAATAATATTAATCTTAGTAACAATTTAAAATATTCCTAAAAAAAAACAATATAAAATTCAAATAATTAATATTTTTGGGTTTAAATTGTTTAAATTTGAAGTGCATTGAATATGTTGGCCTGGTATTGTGGTACCTGAAAAGTTGGAGTAAATTCCTAAAATATCGTACTTAAATGAACTTTAATTGATACTATTATATTTAACAATACTACATTGGAAACATTTAGATATAGTGATTAATATGTGTGTGTGTGTATGTGTTAATTCATTTTAAATTCAAATTATTCAAATTTTAATAAATGTTTTAGTAATTAAATGTTTTAGCATAAAGTTTAAATTTTTCATAATTTGGAGTGAAAAAAATTTTGAGATTTTCTACAATAATAGATAGTAAATCGATTAATACTAATAATAATAATTATTATTAAAACCGATGTCACTTTTAAAATAATTTCGATATTTCATTTCACATTTTAATATTCCCACAAAAGTAAAGCATTTTATTTTTAGCTAAATCCACCAATAAATATTGTTGGCGATATTCATGGACAATTTGAAGATCTTATTGCATTGTTCACCTTGAACGGTTTCCCACCAAATAAAAAATATCTTTTTCTTGGTGATTATGTTGATCGTGGTCCATATTCACTTGAAGTAATCGTACTGCTATTTGCTTATAAGGTATCGATTACTTATTTCGATATTATATCGATTATTTACTTCGATATTATTCATCAATTTAGTTTTTCTGCAAAATTTTGAATAAATTTTGATGGAATGTACAAAAAAATTGAAGAAATAAATTTTCATTTAGAATGATTTATGATCCTTTTCAGCAGAATAATATATGATTTGAATAGTTTCATTCCTTTTAATTATTTTTTTTTTTTAAATGGAAAGTGATTGAGTTTAATAATTTTATTCTTCATTGATTTTTTATATAATTACTACAAGTAACAAATATGTGTATGCATAATCTTTAAACAATATTCCAGCATGGCATTGTTTAATTAGAGTAATTCAGTAATTAATTCATAAAAATTAGAATTATCATCGCATTTATATTATTTCATTTTTTATTAATTTATGATACTGTTGATTAACTCTATAATTTTGGTTACTTTATCCGGATGAAGTCACTTTATTACGTGGTAATCATGAATCGCGACCAGTTAATAAGCAATATGGATTCTACATGGAATGCACGAGACGGTTACTAATTTGAATCTAATTAATTGGCATAATGTTAAAACTTGAAGTTTCTTGATACTATTTCAAATATTGGTGGGAAATTTTAAAGTTATGCACACTTTTTTAATAATAATAATAATAATAATTAATAATAATAATAATAATAATAATAATAATAATAATAATACTAATAATAATAATAATAATAATAATAATAATAATAATAATAATAATAATAATAATAATAATAATAATAATAATAATAATAATAATAATAATAATAATAATAATAATAATAATAATAATAATAATAATAATAATAAT